CAACCAAAAACGGGCAGGGTGACAAGAACCACATTGTTTTGGGTAATCAGTGCGCATTGTCCCAGGCTGACATTACTGCATACCAATAAAACCTTTAAATTCACAGGGAATGGGGAAAGTGCAAAATGATGAATTGTTTGACATTTAAAAGAAAATAAAGAGCTGCTGCTGGATTGAAACTTAAATGAGACTTGGGGAGGGAGGGAAAAAATTACCAGGAGCAGGTTGAGATTTTTATGTAATTCCAGTGCAAACTTCACAAATGATTTTGTCTTTCTGATCTTGTGGCCTCGAAGTCCCAGATCTTTGCACTGATACACGCTCTAAAAGCAAGAGCCAGCACTTACCCCAAGTAGCTTGCAGGACAAGCAAAGGATGGAACAAAAGAAGGGTGGGAACCGATGCCTGATGTGCCCAAGATTAAACTTTTCATTCCACAACGAATCACTGGTAAGTCTAGGAATTAACTCAGGCCTCTCTAATCCCTGCGACCGGTCCCATGATCACCAGACTAGCATTGCTTTTCTGAGGCTGGAAAGATCCCAGGCATTTACAGTTTAAATCCCCTGTGTATCCAGAGGACAGGTAGGGCACAGGTGGAAATACATCAGAGAAAGGATTCCTGCAATTCATTTTCTATGGCGTGGGGGCCAAGGGAATAAGGTCCCAAACAATTAAGACCGCAGACCTCTTCAAACCAAAAATGAAATATAAATGAAGCAAAGAATTTCCAGTGCCCTGTGCAGTGATAGAAGCGCAAGGTGACCAAGAGACTGAAGAGGCTGATCTAAAGTCTAGAGTCACGGAACACGTGCCAACTTCTGCTATCTTGTTGTGTGTCCTTGAGCAAAGTCATGTCTAGGAGGTAAATGGAAACAGCCGGGCCAAACCTGTACCGTGGGTGTTGCATACCTGTAATAATGGTTTGTTGAATGATCTTCAGCTGGGAGGAGCTGAACCAGGTCCCTTTGTGTAAAACAAGTTTGGTATCATGAATCCATCCCGGATTACATCAGGCAGTATCTTGTTCTGCGAGGGAGAAATCTCATGAAAAGCACACACAGAGCTCTGCTAGGTGTCACTCTCCAAACATGTTTTGTGTCTGCATCTGGGTTTGCAGAGTTATCGTGCTCTTTGCTTTTCTTCTTCCTGACCACAACCTTGAGTTGCACTGTTTGCTCAGGTTCTCTCTGCTTTGAGCACACCGATTTTGCATTTTTATTTGCATTAGATTATTGGAGCAGGAGTCTAAATGCTTAAGTTACTGCAAATCCCTCCTCATATGGAAGTCAGTGAGCTGTAAAATATTTAAACTGTCTACAGTTGTACCTCGTTTGTTTACAGATTTCCAGTGGGCTGCTAACAGGTAACATACTGTAATAGAAGAAAGATCCAGGATTGCTGATTCCGATTTCATAACAGCTCTCAAAGTGCTCGAAGTACTTGCATTAACTTGATGGAGTAACATATAGCTCAACTTCCTGAAGCCTTAGGGCCCGAGTGGAGCAGGAAAGCTATGTGCTTTACTCCAGACTCTTTGCTTTATGCTTTCAGTCTGATCCTTGGGGAAAATAAGGTTAGGTGGGTCTTCCTGTAGTTACCGCTGGAGTCACCCACAAATTGTCCTCCGCTCCCCCACCCACGTCCTCCGCGGCTGGGTCTTTCAGCCCTTTTTATTTTGCCACTTGCCCCGCTGAGGAAGCTCTCCAGGGCTCGGTGGCCAACTGAACACGGAGCTAGACGTGCCTCTCTTCAGAGCACTTCTAAATGTCTTGTAGAAAAGGAAGAGAGCGTTGTGATTCTTCAAAGGGCAGCAAGAGGAGGTGACAGATGACTAATCAGTCCCAAGGCAGCAGAGGGCATCAATGAGTTTGAAGATTCATCTCCAGAGCTGAACGAAACCAGCCAGACACTCTATTGAATAATTAAACAAGACAGATTTCTGCTCTTTTCCTATCTTCATGTTAGTCTTGAACAAATTCAAGAAGTTCTCAGGTATATCTTGCAGGTTTTTTCAAGTAATTTTTGAACAACATATAAATCATAGTGCTAATTAGTTTCACAAATTATGACGACATTTCTATTCCTGACTGGATGCAGTGCATATATTTGCAGGTGTGGATAAAGATGATCATTGTAAATGCATAATTTTTCAAGTTGTTTATTTGAATGCAAATTTCATTGCTGAAAATTCACACCTTTGTTATGAATTTCATAGTTCACTTTGGAAATCCAATCAGCCATAATATTTATGCTAGTTAAGCTTATTTGGTGCAATTATTTGTAAAAATTGAGCTTGGCAAGGCAGGTTTGTTTAGTAATTCAAGCAAATATTTGCAGGATTATTTCGTCGCTTTCCCTAGCTCTCGGTGATGAGGTAGAGGAACAACACTTCTCCTAACATATTCAGCTTTTCCCAAAAGAGAATCAGTGTCAGCTAGGGACCAACGCCGCCACATTCTCTTAGATGCCTGACATCACAACGTTTGTTCAGGAGTCCTCTAAGAATAAACCCAAACTAGATACCTTCCACCTTGTGCTCTCTGATTACTTTACTAGTTTTAATTAACTTTATATTAAGTTATCTAAATGTAGTCTCACATAGTCCTTGTGCTGGAATATTAGTAAAATCCCACAGATGGACAAATGGAGGCAATGTTTGGCGTGATGTGACATAGCAAATCACACAGCAAGGCCACTAATAGCACAGAGATATTCTAGGTCCGAGAGCTCCGCTTTGACAGCCAGATCAACTTATTTTCACTTTGTGAGCAAACCCAAATTTAGAAGTTCAGTCCCCTCTGAGCTCCTCCAGGACTGCTACAGGAGATCTCCGGTGCCACAGCGAAGGGTCAGCGATACCCCTGAGCCCTCTATTTCTCCATCAGAGGTCTCTTTCCACTCTTTGGAAGTTTACGGTGAATGGCAAGGAGCCAGCCCCCACGGGCATGGGATGGCGGTGGCTTGTTCTCAAGTGTTTAAAAGTCTGACAAAGTGTTTGCAGTTCTAGCAGGGATCAACACATTTCTAGAATTAAAATCAACATCTTGGATAGCAAAAACGCTCTGAACAAGGACTCTTTCTTCAACCCAATGCACAAGGGACCTTTCTTTAGTAAGCTATAAAATCACTTACTATAAATCAATTATTTTTGTACTGATTTATTAACTGCTCTCCAGCTGTTCAGATAGGCACTTAAAAAAAAATTCCTGGATGGTCCTACTGAAGTTTGCAAAAGCATTCTCTCTGGAGTGCTGTTGGTCCAACCTCATTACAGTCTTCCCTGGTAACGCACATATTCCTAACTGCTCTTAAGCTGTCGAGGGTGGAAGCACCAATCCACAAAGAGTACATCCAGTCCTGTGCCGAGATGATCTTGACATGAATTCTGTTGGGAACTCCTGTCTGGAGCTCCTTCAGTACCCTCTCCTTGAAACCTTGGAAAAGGGTCAACCTGCCCGATAACAGCACCTTCCTTAGGATGTCGGACTGGATATGCTCACGACACTTGGCGATGCTCTGGAGGACCATCCCTCCAACCCCGGCCCTGGGATTTCTGCCTCCACGGGCAAAAAAAGTGCTTCAGGGGATTGGAATAGCTGGTCTCCTGCCTTGACAGCCCTTCTGTCAGGGAGAATGTACTCGCACATAAGTTTTTCAGGCTTTTCCTCCATATTTTGGCTAGGATCTAAAGCAACATAGCACAGCTTCTTCATATCCTTGACAATTTCTCTCTCTGCTGTGCCCGATCTTTGAGAGGAGCCTAGCAAGGTATTTGGCCACACCTCTGCTCTCAAAATCGCCTGGTCGTGCCGCGTAGCAGGTAACAGCCTTTGTAGACAGGCACCGTGACGGTGACACCATCGCCACTGCCCAGCACTAGTCCAGTTGTGCGGGCACAGGCATACGGAGCTGTTAGCGCCTGCAGAGTCACGAAAAGGGCAGGCACCTGGAAGCTTTCAAACATCACCTCAGCCATTTTTTCTTGATGGGACAAAGGATTGAGAGGGGTCTTGATCAGCCCTGCTGGTCTCTCACTTGGTTTCATTTGAATTCTTGTTCGTATAGGTATCTCCAAATTTTCTCCATGTCGTCCCAGGATGTAACTACTCCATTTTCCATTGGGTAAGTCAGAGACAAAACACCCCTTTTGGACTGGGCTTCTTCAATCCTTATGACTCACCCCAAACATGACAAGTTTGAATTTGGGGTATCCCACAACAGTAGAAACAACCGAAGAGGGTGCCCATTCCCCTGACAGACCAGCCCTTCCGCTGTCCAGAGCCGATGCCAAAAATCACTGCACGCGTCCCTGCCGCTGCCGCCACGGAGTCGGAGCCCCTGTGCAGGATGGTGCTGTCCCTGGCAGCGGCTGCTGGTGCAGAGCGTCAGTGAAATGTTCTAGATCCCCCAGTCGGAAATAGGCACCGCTCGGCTGAGCTCACAATCCTTCGCAGCTGCACCGGCAACGCCACTTCCTCCAGGGAGCCGGCAGTGCGGAGCATTTTGATTCAGGGCTAGTACTTGGAAGTGAAACTGGGTGTTCTTATTTCCCAGATAAATTACAGCAGAGAATCAATGGATTTTTTCAGACCCTCAGGCACAGAGGAGGGTCAGTTACAGTAATTGCATTTGCATTGATTTATATTTGGATTCTGTTTGGGGTTTTGCTGGGTTTCTAAAGGAAACATTTTTAATGAGGTCAAAAATAATGTGAGAGCTAGTTTTAGAATACAAACCCCAGATATCTCAAAGACCTTAGAGAGAAGAATCGCCCAGCAGAGGAGGAATGCTACTCCCCATATGACTCAAGGCAGGCTGTGAGTCAGTTAAGGAGTTACTGCAGCCCTGTGATATGTGCACACCTCTAAACTCTGGGGAGGGCAAGGGGAAGGGAGATGATAAACAATAAGATCCTCATTACCAACGTTTTTAATGTTTTCTTTTCAGACTGGTTTTGTCAGCCAATAAATGCACAAACAGCTGTAGCACCTTTTAGGTCAGTCAGCTCTCAGCAGGGTTTCTTGCTCATGCGTTGTTGTAGCAAGCCATTCACTTGGTCTGATGTTCTCCTTAAAAGTGTTTCTGGTGAATGACAGTGCCCCAAAATCCTTGTAATCACTCACGGTGACCCACGTTTTTTTGAAAGATGTCAGGCAGGTGAGGATGGAGGCCCCAGCCCATGCACAGTATTTTCTCTCAGGGGGTTCAATGATCCTCACAAACATGCCAGCAGGCACTTGCAGCTTCATCTCCATCAGGATCCGCTCCTCCAGGCCAGGGAAGAGCGTGAACCCACTGGAGAGCAGGATGTTGCCGTAAAGATTCCTGTGCATGTCGATGTGATGCTTCATGATGCTGTTGAAGATCATTTTGTGCACACCGGGAGCTTCCACTCCAATGTTTGCAGGCACGAAAAGGGTCTCTGGTGCACAAAAGAGCTGGTTGCCTGTCTGGATGATATTGTTTTCAGGCAATCTGTATTTTTTCATGATTTCTTCTGGCTTTGCTTTCATTTCTTAGGCAGGGTCTAAAGCTACGTAGCACAACTTCTCTGTGATATCTCTCACAATTCCCCTTTCAGCTCTGCTAATAAAAGTGTGTCCACTCTCCGAAAGAAGCTTCATAAAATATCTGGTGATATCAGGGCCAGCAATATCCAGCTGGAGACAGCATGGGGTAAACTGTATCCTTCATACATGGGGACAGCGTGAGTAATACCATCCCTGCTGTCCGTGACTATTCCGGGCCGATGCATAGAGTGCCAGAGTTGCCTGGACTGCAACGTACATAGCCGGCACCATGAAGCCTTCAAACATAATCTCCATCATTTTTTCCTAGTTCTGCAGAGGATTGGGAGGGGCTTCAGTCAGCAGCGCTGGCCTTTCACTGGCTTTGATTCTCGGCTCATACTCACAGACATGTCTCCAGATCCTTTCCATACCATCCCAGCATGTAGGCATGCCATGGTCTATTGGAGAATTCAAAGACAGGACCCCTCGTTTGGACTGAGCTTCTTCTCCAATGTAACGTTCTTTCTGTCCAGCTCCCAGCACTGTAGCTTTGACTTTTGAGGGACCAACAATTGCTGTAAAAACAGACCTTGGGCCACTGTCACCTGCAATACCCGCTTTGAATAGCCCAGTCCCATTGTCAAAGATTACAGCTGGGACATCCAAAACGTTGGGGTCAAACATTCTTTGCAGAGTTGATGGCTCCCCAGAGTGGCTCCTCAGCACTGTTTGCCCGTTCCCCTTTTACAGGAGGGTCACCATTGCTAGGGAAGTCTTCTCGGGGACGTACACTTGCCGTTTCCACCATGTCTGCCTCCAACTGCGTCACAACGGCCAGTGATACAATAATATATTTTCCCAGCAAGTTACCTGATCCCAGGCACTTCCTGGGATGTGGCCAGCGTAGCTCCTCCACGACTCCAGCCAGAGGCCTTTCAATTCACCGAGTCCCATCCACAGGTCATGGGCCATGAATGTATCCCTGTAACGAGCCCGAGAGCATTTTTTTCCCTCAGAATAGAAAAGCATGTATTGCAAAATACAAGCATGACAATAATTAAAATTTTCACATGTGCCTCTGGCTTAGCTAAGACTCTACAAATATTTCCAAGAGTTGGTGAAGATTAGGACAGTTTCGCCTCCCTGTAAGTATTAACTGAATTACCAGCTTGCTTTTCTGAATAACATCTGCATCGGAAACAGACCTTTTTCAACTGAATCCTTTCTGATCCTTTACAGGAAACTCCTAAAAATGTTTTTAAATAGGTAGAACTATGTTTGGCACTGATTATGGCATTCTGGAGTCTTTTTTTCCCTGTCCTTGCTACTTGAAGACTATTTTTTTTTGGTAAAATCACAAAAGTGAAATAATAATTTCTGCCTCTTGCTGGTTTAAAAAAACCCAGCAGCTTTAAACAATGCTTATAATACTTTCTAGTGCAAAGGAATTCCTTCTGCTAATGAATCTACATCCTCGGCTGCTGACAAGCTGACCTGCCTGCAAATAAACAGACATGCAGATGTCTTCCTTCCACGCTTCCCTTTTCCATTCGGCACTTTGCTGAGAAGAACAAACTCTTTTTGGAAGTTTGTTCAGAAGGATTAAAAATATCCTAGATCTTCACAACTGATCCCCATTTCACATCTAAGTGTTGGTTTGTTTTTGTTTTTAATTTTCCTTCAAGAGAAGATTTCCTAAAGACAGAAATTTCTATAGCTTTGAATCCAATCAGATCTGACAATCCAAATCCGTTTACAGAGAAAATTTCCTTTAAAAAAAAAAAAAAATCACTATACAACTTCAGTTTGAATCCTTGGCTGCCAGAGTTTAATTGCTTCTCCTTGTGGCTCTAAATCCAGGGCAGCTTCAAAGCAAGGGTGGCTTCTATTAAATTTAATTACTTTTTCCTGCAGCTCGCATGGCAAAGGTGCTAGCTGCTAAATGAAGGTGGTTATGAATTAGAGGCAGATTCCAAACAAAGATATATATTAAACAGAAATTTTAAGTACAAGCAAATGACCTCCTTGTACAGAGACGTTTATACCCCAGATGAACTACTTAAAAAAAAAAAAAAAGCCACCTAACAAGGGATCAGCTCTGTGTATGTTGTTTCCATTCTGCTTAGATTCCAGACATGTTTGTGTTAAATGCCACTCTATCCATTTTAGCAATTTCTCTAATCCTCTTAATATTTGTGTACATATATTTCAGTGTGTGGCACACTTGTTTTCATGCATGCTTCTATATTAATGTCAACAGGTGTCCTAATCATTTAAGAGGTTGTTACATGCATCACACTAGAAGCCTCATTTAATCCTGCGTGGTCTGCATGCAGCTTACAGCGAAGCACTCCGTTTTGAACGTGATGTTGAGTATTAAAACCGGGGAATATTGGCTGTGATTATTAAATGGCAGTTGAACCTAGACACAGGAATGCTTATCTGTTCCCTCATACTGGTTCTGTCACAAAGCACCTTAAAAAGGGCATGTGTGAATTAACTTTGTTACTATAGGGTTTGTAATAGGTGAAATTAGTTTGTGTTGAGCCGAAGTACTGCAAATTGAACTCACAGAAGAGACAATATGAGACATCAGAAATTTCTCGTGCTCACCCGGCAGTACAGCTTACACTGATACGACGGGAGCTCATTCAGGAATGCAAAGACAGCTCCTTTTCTGAGAGCCAGCCTATCTTTGGCCTTTGACGTTTGCCAGGGGCTGCCCGCTGCGGAGAGACACATAAGGAACTGGACTGAGAAGAACAAATCCATTCCACGCAAGCTGCTAACGTCTTGACTAGATGGTATGCACTGTTTGTCACCTCTTAATGGGGTGGAATATGAACTCAAAGCCGAGACAGACAGTGGAAATGCAGTAATAGTGTAATTCCCCCAACATAGCAAACATAAACGAGCTCTGTCCCACAGACATTGGATTGTAAAAATTCATAGATAGTCAAATGCGTTGTTTATAGGTCAGTCTCGCTTGCTTTATAGGTCAGTGCTGAGCACACATTTTCACTTACCAGCTTACGCATGTCTTTTGGCCTTACTGACTGTGTCACCTGCACAGAATCGATCCCCCCAGGCATTCCCCGTAGCCATCCTCTGTCCAAATACTACTGGATACAAACACGTAACTCGGGGCAGATTCTGAGTGAATCGTGCCAGACTGGAAAGCACCTAGAAAAGGGTGATGAGCTTTGGAAGGTCTAAATTTACCTGGGCTAAAACCAGGAGGAAAAGTGTTGGCTAACTCTTAGTCCGTACGCCCACGTAAACCCCAAGGTCCTGACTAACCTGTAACATCTGCAGCAGCAGGGATAAACATCTTTCCACATCTAGAAAGCATTAGCAAAAAGGAAGACAAGTAGGACCAGAGACTGAGGGAGAGAGATGCTTCTCTCCATGCCTTTCTACACCAGATTATTTTGATATCTTCCCTGTTTTTCCTTTGCATTTGTATGAGTCTTGCCTTTTATGTGGGTCTTGTCGTGATTTTTTCTGTTTCACAGAAAAAGGGGACAATTGCAAGGAATTTGTCCATTCCCCAAACTCATTCCACACTGAGTATTTCCTAGTGTCCTACAGGCAACTGGTTTTGCTGGCTAACACAACCATTAGGAAACCTCAGACATACAGCTCCAAGGAAGACCTGCCTTATCCTTCACAAACTTGACAGGGACTTGATGAATTTGCATTAATTTCTCCATAAAATATCTTAGCTTTCTTAGTCCAGATATATCCGCCACCTTGTTGGGGCACATCTCCCCTCCTCCATCTTTGTTTACACCCCCCCCAAAATGCTGATTATCTTGGCTACAGTTTCCTCCTTGCCTTCTTTGGATGGGGCGGACACCTTGGGCTGTTGGCTCTGTGACAGTGGCTCTGCCAACAGGATGACCAATGCAGCTTTCCAAGTGGATTTTAAGCTGGAACTTTAGACGCTGTGAAGCAATGCATTAAATAAATAAGAAAGATGAAAATAAGAAAAAAACAAGAGGCTGGCATGCGGTGGACATGAATCTCAAAGCAGAGAGTCATGTAAGCACAAGTATACTGCCTTTTTACGCACAGTAGTAATTTAGCACTTTCTGGGATATCCCAAAAACAAACCAAAAGATTTATTAAAGTGCTAAAGCTTAAGTGTTAGAAGTCTGTGCTTTTACAGCTGAAAGATCACAGTTACAGAACCATCTCCCTGGAGCATGCATATGATTTGCGTAACAAATAGGAGTGCATTTATGGAGTGAATCCAAATGCATCAGAAATAAATATTGCAAGAGAAGAAGTGAGGAAAAGAGGGTATTTCAACCCAGTGGAAGTGTGAACGAGGAGGGACAAAAATCTTCTGTTCAGAATACCACCACTGAAACCGTATGCGGGGAAGACAGAACGGAGCCTGCCCAGCCTTCTCCATACCCTAAAACCCCGGAGCAGCGGTTCACAGCGCGCGGAAGAATCAAGCCCATCAAACGCTGCGGCAACGATAGACGCCTTTGCCAAGTCAGCCTGTCAGCACATGAGGACGACGCTTACTCTGTGCCACCAGTCGCTCCGGTGCAGATACAAACCCGAATTCATTATTTATATTGAGATAGTGCCTGGAAGTCAGCCGGGCTTTCCCAAGCACTGCAGAAACAAACAGCGAAGGGCCGTCCCAGCTCAAACGAATTCAGTCTGAGAAGCGAGACGTAACAGGTGGGCGAGACAAACAAGCAGGTCAGGGTGGAAGGCGAGGGAGACAGCGTGAAAGAAATCAGGGGCTGAGAGCAGTTCTTAGCCAGTAAGAAGCAATAATCACCATCACAGATGCTTAGCTCTAACAACTTGACAAGATCCCTTTCTTCACATAGGAGCTGTGTTTGATTGCTCCCATACTTGTTTCCATCCAAAAATCCCCATTTTGCAATGTCTTCGTGACACTCCAAACATCCGCAAAGCTCTCTGAAGTTGAATTTTAATGTGTTTATTGACACCGGTTATGATATTTCAAAACACATGGGCTACAAATTGTTACCATGCACTCCTAGTGTTTACAGTAATCCCCATATTAAAACAAACTCAGCCTTTCCTGATGATTTTATATCTTCTTGCTGACTCACTTGCCTGTGTTTATTTAAACTCCTGTTGAGCGTTTTTTTAATATTCAACACTTTCCAAACATAAAAAAAACCCCTATCTGCAGATTTCATATACTTTTGAAACGTTTCGCATTCATTTTTATGGGCACCACATGGCCAAAATCCTCTCCTTTCAATTTTCCTTGCAGATGACTTGCAACATGGGCTTCCCATGCTGGAGCCCAGCGGTTAACCCTGCACGTGCAGCTGGCCGTGGCGTTAGAACCGCTGCCAAGGCCCGGCCCCGCCGCGGGCAGCTCCCAAAGCTCAGCCCTGATGCCACAGCTTGGCCCGGAGGAGGTTTCCCTCTGATCTCCACGTGTTAGAAGTGGGCTTAGGCTGCAGCAAGGGGAGCTTTTAGGAGTTCACACCATTGCCCGTTAGAAACGATTAGGGCGGCTCTTTCCGCCTTCGACCAGGGCTGGGCTGCTGAACTTGTGAGGTCGCTCCCGTCCTACGGGAACACCTTGGCTGCGTGGCCCAGCTGCAGCTCCTGAGGAACACGAAGCTGCCCGGCGGTTCAAGTTCAGGACTGCGACAGGGCTTTGCCACCCTCAGGGG